CGTGGAATTTCTATATCTGGACATGTATAAATATCCAGTAGATATTCGAGAATCTATTTTTGTTACGGTTAAAATTAGATTCCTTGTTTAGCCTATTCTTTTAATACTTACTACTTATTGTTTAGACTTAATAACAATAGTCGATTATTAAAAGAATAGGATAACCGAGGAATCTAATTTTAACAGATGTAAAAATATAATAATAAAACTGCTAAATAAATGATCCAACACGTCTTGATCCTGTAACCCTGCACCGCAAAGGAAGCGGTATCTATCTATAGGAATAAAGTTACAATTTTTGTAAATTCTTTAGAACATCATTACAGCCTTATTTACATTATCTAGCTCGAATTATCTTACCAATATTATAAACACGAAAGTTTGTGAGTATGGATGGATGGATGCTGTTACTATTTCACGCAAAAAGTAATGAACGGATTTTGATGAAAATTTTATAGCAATATAATTCATACATCAGAATAACACATATGCCATAGTTAAAAAGACATTATGTAAATTGTTCAAGTAAGGATGATGCAGACGAAGTTGCGCGGATAGTACTAGTACCTATGGGTTACAAATATTAGTTTTAAGATATTCATTACCATAACATTTTCATTTAATTAACATGTTCTAAAGTATGTTATTTATTTTAAGCTTTATTTAGGGAAACCTAACACTTTCAGCACTAAATTCGTCGTATCACTGAATTAAAATTATTTTGAATATATTCTTTTTAACCTATGTAATTTCCTTGATCGTAAATTAGGACATTTTCATCTACGTGCGTCCACTGCTTATCTATTACAGCCTTCTGGCTGCTGGCTTTGTAATCTGAGTTTCAGTATAAGGTAGTTAAATTATTAATTACAGAGCACGTAAGTATGATATCTTAAAGCTCGGGAACCGCTACTCCTGTGGTATCACGTAACATTATCATTGTGCTACTCATGTATACAGGTTACATTTACCACCTACGAAAAATCGGTCAAAAATGAAACTTTAATAGCATATTTAATTTTCCTATTCAATATATTTTTTTATTTAATTATTTTATTGAGAAGGCAAAACACGTAAAATAAAAAGAATCAATATTAATAGAATAGTTAGAATACCATAATGCCCTATATCCAGTAGAAATATAAAAACATCCTCTCTTGATGTTTAAGAGAAAATAAATGTACTCTCAAATTTTTAATTATATATTCTTAGCACTTAATAGATCAGCCAGTTTCTATAAATAATAATATGAATTTATTTATAACTAGCTACTCGTCCCGGCTTCGCACGGGTGTACATATATTATATATATATATGTAAACCTTCCTCTTGAATCACTCTATCTGTTTAAAGATCCACTTCAAAATCCGTAGTTTTAAAGATTTAAGCACACATATGGACACAAACAGACAGCGACAGCGACTTTGTTTTATACTATGTAATGATGATGATAATAAAGTATGTAGATCTCACTAATATTATAAACGCGAAAGTTTGTGCGTATAGATAGATTTATGTTTGTTCTATGACACTAAAACTACTGAACGGATTTTAATGAAACTTTACACTAATATAGCTTATATATCAGAATAAAAAATAGGCTGTTGTTAAAAAGATATTACGGAAATAGGGCGAAAATAATAACAAATGTCAAGAAGCGTGTAGCAGACGAAGTTGCACGGGTCAGCTAGTACATTATAAATAAATTGATATTAATTATATTCAGAAGAGTTATACGTTATTTTACTATGGCAACTCTGAGCATCCGCCCCCGCGTAGACCCCGCCTTGCTACGGCGCTACATAGAGCATTATACATACTTAAATACACACTGTCATACAAATTACATACTACGTTATACATTGTTTTTATTACAATTGTGGTGATCAATTAATGATAAGCAAACAGCCGACAATAATTATTCGTCTATTACTTAGCTAAGTTTCATAGTGCTTTGGTTAAAGAAATATGTAATTAATAAGTTCATCGATGTAAAATAAAATATAATACAAGACTACTTCTTCTAAATCATTATTAAAAAAATGGTCTAATTGAGTTCCTTTCCAGTTCTTAATTTATTAAAAGGTCACTTTAGTCAACAGGAATGGCAATGCATGAGATAGTACCGGCATATCATGTGATGTTGTAAAGTCTGTTGTGGTGTTTGTTTAATTATAAACGAAGATTGCCATTTACCATTTCGTAGATCATCAGCTTATTTGCTATTTCAGTTATGTTGTCCACATACTCGTACAAAACTGAAGTAAACATTTTTAACATTCAATTGTATCATCTTATAGATGTTCTATAAGGCAAATTATTCTTATAGAACATCTATAAGAATAATTTGCCCCCTGATTCGTGAAAAGTATAACCTTCTTCAATTTAAGTATTAAATGTAAGTCACTTTCTGAGATTTAAGGGTTTTCACCAGTTCAGTTGAATTACTTTTTTGACATTAAGAAATTATGGATTAAATTACCGTAACAATCGAATTGTTAAAATTGGTGACACCTACTTGTAAAGTAATAATTGTAAAGGACCCAAATTATATTACAGTACCCCAAATAGTACGTGATGTGACTTTACCGTTTCCATAATTGGCTTATAAAAACGTTTCTATCTAATTTAGTATGTATCAGGCAAAAGTGTAAAAAGCAACCCCTTACTGAATTCTATCTATACCTACATACAAAAAAACATAACAGATCTCTTTTATCTGCTTGTCTGATAGTTTGTACGCAGTCACTCTAGAAATGGCTTAACCGATATGGTTATGGTTCTCACTAATGTATGCTTGTAAGTTTTATTAAAATTTTTATGTTTATTTCATTCTTATCAGTTTCCAAAAAATTGTTCTTCCTACTACTGCATTTATACTACTATTATACATTATTATACCTACTATTACAGTTCGAAAAATTTCTTTTGTTATTATATTATTTGTATTTCTACAAAATAGTTATATTGTAATGTAATGTTGTAAAATTGTTATTATTTAATATAAGAACAATATTTATTTTTCTTTTCTATTATTTTACAAATTTTTATAGGTAAAATTACTGAGAACACTTTACATAGAATTATAGTAAATAATCTATTATAATATTGATATACTTAAGAGAAGTTTGATAAGGTATTTTATCAAACTTATCTTAAATTGTAAATGCGAATAAATATGACACCACTCGTCACTGCTATTCAAATCTAGTAGGCTCTCGTAACTTTTTTACGCACTCCGACACCAATGTTATTATGATAAGAACGATGTAATTTTTTTTATTAGACATTACGATTTTACAAGGAAACTAGTGTTTTCTATATATTACTTTAGAAATAATATTTGAAACCCTATTGGAGAAGTGAATACTAGTTTTAGTTAATCTGATATATTTAGTACTAAAAAAGTATTTTCAAAATTTTTCTAATATAACATCTAAGTCCAGTAAGGGGAAAAATATCAGAATATGATATGCTTTCCCAATATCATTTTCCACGAGGAGCGGTTACGATACAATAAATAAAGATAAAGGACAAGAAGCAATAGATTTTTATAAAGATAGAGCCCATTAAACCATGGAATAAATAATATTGGTTCTCTCTACCAACTATATATTTGTATAAAAACTGGTGTGACGATAGATAAACGTAAACCATAGTGGTCATTAAATCATTTTAATACCTACCTATTTGGTGAAGTAACATTGCATGTTGTAATTATAATAAAATAAAAAAATGATTTTAATCGTTTAATGCACTCGTGCCTATATTGGTGACTAATGTATTTATTTTTACAAAAAAAAAAATACAAAGCAATATCATCGCTCTATGTTTGACGTCACATTTTCAAAATGATTCATTTTATTTTTAAGAACTTCAAAGTGGCTTTTTGCGATAGCAATAAGCTTGGATATAAATAAGCAGTAATTATTTATATCCAATTTTCTTTATTTTTTCCCCATAACCGTATATTTAAAATAAATATTTTCTTCTCTCATATAAAAAAAAATTAATATTAACAATTCATAAAGCGTTCAAGATATAATAAATCGGATTAAGAGTATTGGAATCCTATGAAAAGATTTATTTAGCGTGGGATCCTTAACCGATACTACTTATACACCTACGATTATTATTTATAAATACTGCAGAAAACAAATTAAAAGACCAACCAAATAAAAATGTATACGACCACTTTATATCAGAAAATAAAAGCAATTGAAAAAGGTTATTTTCTGAGTTTAAAAGAAAATTAGAACTACGCAAAACGAGCACTATGTACCTACTGCTATAGTAATTTTTAATATTAATAAGTATTTTAGATATCGGGTACGATACAGCCGGTGTTCGCGCGAACACTGCTAGCGGGGGCGATTTGAACCAGCCTGTGTGGAAATCATAACAAAAATATACATCTTTTTATTATAGTAAAAGAGTTTATACGTATAATTAGTAAAAATCACGGGATCTTACCACGTTTTATATTTATTTACTGAGTTCCCGATATTTCGGTAGTGTTTCAACCACCATGATCACGGGTAGACTGAAGAGCAGCGGGTAGATGGAAAATGAAATCTTTTTATGGGCAGACATATGCGTCTACCTTCACACGTCTTCGTTTGTTGCTACTACTGGAACTCGCTCGATATTCATCTCGGCAAACTGTACTCACAGTATCTTTACGTACATTTAATACACTTTTTGATCGCGTATTTTGTTTTTGTTTAATTAAACCAATCACTGGATTCCAGGCATTAGAGAGCCTATAGCCGTCTTCTCGATTGAAATTTTTATATTTCTGTATTTCAATGGCCTCTCTAACCATTCTTGGGATATAATAAAAAATTGTATTGCGCCAAGCTAGAAGCCCAAAAAGCAACTTAACCTCTCAAGAATACGCAGCGCTAAAAGATTTACGTACGGATGACCAGGTTCTAGTACTAAAGGCAGACAAAGGTAATACTACAGTAGTTATGAATGTTTCCACTTATGACAGTAAAATGACTGATTTACTTAGTGACAAAGGCACATATAAAAAAGTTAAGTACAACCCTACTGCAAGAGTGGCACGAAAAACGTGTGAACTGATTAGAAAATATCAACAGTGTCTCCCAGATAATGTTGTGAAATATCTTCTAAGACCGAGATCTCCGCAACCACCAAAAATATATGGTCTACCTAAAATCCACAAGGTGAGTAGTCCTCTACGCCCTATCGTTAGTCAAATTGACTCACCAACATATGATCTAGCCAAACATATGGCACTAGTGTTGCAACCATTAGTCGGAAAAACTTTTTCATACGTCAAGGACTCCCGACAATTTGTCCAAACCCTGGAGCACATAAAATTAAATGAAAAGGAAATTTTGGTGAGTTTCGACGTAGAATCTCTATTCACTAACGTGCCGATATCGGAATGCGTCGAACTAGTAAAGTCAAAATTACAGGAAAATAACATCCCGGATGAATATGCAATATTGCTTGAGCATTGTTTGACCTCTGGTTACTTGGTATATCGGAATGAGTATTATCTCCAGGTCGAAGGAGTAGCCATGGGTAGCCCCGTGGCTCCTGTTGTCGCTAACTTATGGATGGAGAAAATTGATAATTTGGCAATTTCAACAACTGCATTTCCTGTAAAGTTGTGGAAGAGATATGTGGATGACATATTTTGTATTTTGGAGGGAACGGAAACCGAAGTTATGCAATATCTATCCTATCTAAACAGCATCCATACAAAATCAAAATTTACAGTTGAAATAGAGAAAGAGAGATCCTTGGCTTTTCTTGACATCAAAGTTACAGTTCAAAAAGATGGGACATTGGGACACACTGTTTATAGAAAACCAACTCATACGGACCGATACCTGCACGCTACATCACATCATCATCCCAGGCACTTTGACTCCGTAGTATCATCACTGGTTAATCGGGCTTATGACCTGTGTGACAAGATACAAATTAAAGAAGAACTCTTACACGTAGAAGGTGTACTACGGAATAACGGCTATAATATAGACATTTCTAGATGGCGCCATAAACACAACAAAAGCAGACGCCCCAAATCATGTAGTGTGAAACGTCAAAAAACTTTCTTGCCTTATATTAAAGGAGTGACTGATAAGATAAGCAGACTATTGAGTAAATACTCTGTAGATACTGTTTTTACTCCGCACAGAAAAATAAAGCAAATGTTACGTTCACCTAAGGACAACTTTCCTCTACAACATCCTGGAGTCTATAAGGTGGACTGTAGTTGTGGGAGCTCATACATCGGACAGACAAAAAGAACAATAGCCCGTCGCATTGCTGAACATATAAAAGCTATTAAAAACAACGATCCACGTAAATCAGCCATAGCGGAACACTTGTTGGGATCGGGACCCAATCACTGGATTGAACTACACCAACCAAAAGTGTTAACATCAGAACGGCATTATATCCCAAGAATGGTTAGAGAGGCCATTGAAATACAGAAATATAAAAATTTCAATCGAGAAGACGGCTATAGGCTCTCTAATGCCTGGAACCCAGTGATTGGTTTAATTAAACAAAAACAAAATACGCGATCAAAAAGTGTATTAAATGTACGTAAAGATACTGTGAGTACAGTTTGCCGAGATGAATATCGAGCGAGTTCCAGTAGTAGCAACAAACGAAGACGTGTGAAGGTAGACGCATATGTCTGCCCATAAAAAGATTTCATTTTCCATCTACCCGCTGCTCTTCAGTCTACCCGTGATCATGGTGGTTGAAACACTACCGAAATATCGGGAACTCAGTAAATAAATATAAAACGTGGTAAGATCCCGTGATTTTTACTAATTATACGTATAAATAATGACCGCGTCAAGTTTAAAACAGTATATAGTAAAAGAGTTTTTGTCAGCAAAAGTAATAAGGTAATACAAGTAAATAGAACTTCTACTACAGCATTCTAATAAAATAATATCAGATTTAATTTAAAATGAAAACAAATTTAGATAAGCGAACCCGGGATGTAAATACTCTCTCTCTCTCTCTCTCTCTCTCGCCATATTTTCTGTATTATAGTTTTGTAATGTATAAAAAAACAACTTCTTAACTGCGTAAATAAATAAATAAATCAATACTGAAATCGGTATAAAAAACTTTATACTGTTTATATTTGTTATGCTTGTAACCTCGTCGATTAATTTCATGCCTATAGTTTTAACCACAATGTCAAAATATTATTCTATTTTTCACTAGTGGAAATTTTCAAATTTTATTATGCAATATACGAAATATCAATAATACAACACGTATTAATAATAATTGTATTATTAATACGTATTGTATTATTAATATGCGGCGTGACATATTGATGTCACGCCTCAAATTAATATATTTTATATACAAATTACAAAATGTTAAATATAATGCAACAGCAAAACTCTATTCTATCTTGGTTGTATTCTCGGTTAAATTCCATGACAGACGCATTGTGCAACTCCTTTTTATATTATTTGGAGATTATATTCTACCAATATTTGCTGGACTTTTAGTTTAATTCCATCAAAAATAACATTACAACAACACCCCAAATTATATCGTCTGAAAGCGATATTTAATGCACATGAGGAATCATCCCCATGCTCCCCGAGGAATAGAACGCGAGGGGACGAAATCGTCTCATTTGTATAGGGGAAGTTTTCAACACATTTCCTTTTATCCAACTATGGGGTGCACTGTAGTTTCGACAATTCCAACAATTAACTAATAAATTTTATATTACATCCCATATACATTTCTCATTTGCATCTTGTTAGCGTGAATTCTATTTAAATCCTCTTTACTTAAAGAGTTTGTTAAGCTCAAATGTAATTAGAAGTTACCTATATGTTAAAATATTAAAACTCGATATAAATCTATAAAGATATCGGCCAAGAATGTAAAATGATCTTTATGTAATTTATGTAATATTACAAACCCATAAAATTGTTCTACCACTCAGATTATTTCTGGATACGGGTTTATTACCTACATACAGACCTACCAAATATACATGCATACATTCCAAACATTTTTTTTATGTCAAAAGGTAACAAATACTTGCAATGCTTATAAATATATTATTGGGTTAAGATTTGTTAAAATAGTTGTAAAAGTGGAGATAAATAAATAAATTTCACAAAAATTGGACAAGTCATTTCGACGGAGTTCGATAACACTTATTCTGTTATGGAATTTTTATATAAATATTAGATTTTCTAACTCTACCTACATCGCTCAATTTTTTTCTTGACACTAGTCTTTTTAATGGATTAATATAGCAACCCGTGCTAACAATATACGCTATAGAGGTACCAGTGGAGTATGAAAATTAATAGAATGATCATAAAATCAATCAGCTGTACGTATACGGAATATCAACAGGGATCATCACATTGGGTTCCAGGCCAGGGTTACCTATTTTTACTACGGGTCCACTACGAACAATCGATCATTTTCAATTTGAGACTACTAGAACTAAATTACTATTATCAGTGGCACTCAATGAGGAAATAGCCATTATTATTGCTCAAAGTTGCATATAGATGGCGTGATTGGTATCGATGGAATTCTTCATAGTTTTGCAAACGTTTTAAAAAACAAAACTGTGTTTTCAAAATAGTTTAATCCATTTTAAAAAAATATATATACATGTTAAAATGAAATAATGCGTTTAGAAAAGTAATTTTCATATATTTACTCATTTTGTTATTTTCCAGTACTTAATTACACTTTAATCAGTGCTAATACGGGGCTCAATGTTTTCAAAATGCTTTCATAGATGGCATTGTTGTCATTTGTATCGGCCTAATTAAATGTCTTTTTTATATTTTCCAATAATAAGCACTTAATATATTATTATTGTAAATTAAACATATAAAAAAAGTTTAAGTAAATTAAAAATAGCCGAACAAGCAAATAATACTATTTCCAATAATACTTATGTATGAAGTGTTGTCATATTAAAAATAAATACATGTATTATCGATTTTTTTAATAATCGATAACAGGATTTTATTACAGCGCATTATTCGATGATGCTCTAATGAGTCGTTGTGAACAGTAAATTTTCATTATTTTGTATTAAGTATAGCAGTATTCCGTTTCAAAGAACGGAATATAGTAGTACATTATTAGTGTCGTTGGTTATTTACATTTTTACTGAAAAATCGATTACATAATAATTTAAAATATCGAGTACGAATCGTAGCTGTCTTCGAATACTGGCAACTGGTAAGATTAAAATAGTTTTAAAAAAAAGAGAGAAATCGACCCTAACTCGAATACCATAAAGTTTATTTTCCTTTCTCATTAATATCATAGCAGTTTGTTTTTAACTTGCGTATGACTCTGTGGTATGATGTTTAACGTGTATTGTTATTGTACGGTGCATACATTTCAAAAATTATATTTTAATGTAGGTACAAACATTTCTTTCATACATTTCATACATGTCAAAAATTATCTTTTAATGTAGGTACATACATTTCTTTCATACATTTCATACATGTCAAAAATATCTTTTAATGTAGGTACATACATTTATTTCATACATTTCATACATTTCAAAAATGAACTTTTTATGTAGGTACATACATTGTTTTCATACATCTCATACATTTCAAAAATTATATTTTAATGTACATACATTTCATACATTTCAAAAATGAACTTTTTATGTAGGTACATACATTTCTTTCATGCATTACATACATTTCAAAAATTATATTTTAATGTAGGTACATACATTACTTTCATACATTTCAAAAATTATATTTTAATGTAGGTACATACATTTCTTTCATACATTTCATACATGTCAAAAATTATCTTTTAATGTAGGTACATACATTTCTTTCATACATTTCATACATGTCAAAAATTATCTTTTAATGTAGGTACATACATTTCTTTCATACATTTCATACATTTCAAAAATGAACTTTTTATGTAGGTACATACATTGTTTTCATACATCTCATACATTTCAAAAATTATATTTTAATGTAGGTACATACATTTCTTTCATACATCTCATACATTTCAAAAATTATATTTTAATGTAGGTACATACATTTCTTTCATACATTTCATACATGTCAAAAATTATCTTTTAATGTAGGTCCTTACATTTCATACATTTCAAAAATTTCATACAATACAATTCTTTCATACATTTCAAAAATTATCTTTTAATGTAGGTGCATACATTTCACACATTTCAAAAATTTCATCTACGTTTCTTTCATACATTTCAAAAAGTATTTTTTAATGTAGGTACATAACACCCCATGTCAGACCCCTTATATTTGGAAGAAACTTAAAAATAATGCCAAAAATATTAGATGAATATATTTTTAATACGAATATTGTTTTATTTTTGTTCATCAACTTTATCCCTCACTAACAATACTAGTAGTAGTACATAACCTGGTTTATACCGCTAAAGATATTGAAAGATATACGAGTAATTCAGAATGTTATCAAGTTCAAAATAAGCACACATTACTTGCTTAGATAACAGAGTAATATTACTAGTAATAAAAACATTTGTAATACCCATATGTATACTACGTATGTATAGTAAGTACTTACGCTGCGGCGCCGTGAGACTCGTCTAAGTACTTCATCTACTCATCTACGCGCGGTAACCGCGCCGACCGACCAATAGGATAGCGCCTCTCGTGTTTCCAGAAAGTTCGCGACTAACGGACGATATAGTAGTAAGGCAATGAGTGTCCCAGTGATATCATTATAATATTTTCTCGTTAAATTTTATTGTAATATACACAATTTCGCACTAAATAACGTGTTACCCCGTTACACATTTCTAATAATGAAAAACCTAGACCGACCCTGTTCACTTAATCTTACAAGATCTGACTTTAAAAATTACGATATCCTCATATAGCCTTTCATTTCCCCTTTCAATACTTTTTCGCATTAAAAAGTAGCCTTTCTCAGGGTCTACATTATCTGTCTACCAAATTTCAATTAAATCAGTTCAGTAGTTTTGGCGTGAAAGCGAGACAAACAGACAGACTGAGTTACTTTAGCATTTATAATATTTGTAAGAATATCGCTATTAAAAATAGGGGTTGTGAAAGACGGGTGAAAATTTAGGCGTGTATGTATTTTCAATGTAACATTATAAATAAATAAAAAATTGTCCATAATACAAAAAAATATTTTTTCGGGGTAGGCCACCCCTATGACTTAGGGGTATAAAAAATAGATAACAACCCTACCTCAGACCTGGGAAGTATACATATCAAATTTCATCAAAATGTGGGAGAAATATGGCAACTAACACTGTGATACAAAATTTATATATAAGATATAGCGGAATTCTCATTAGGTAAAAGCGGGGTACATCGTAGAATACATGAGGTATATACCAGTAAATTAATTGTAGCTAAAATCAGTCTCATACATATAACGATTGAAATAAAAAATCGTATAGCCCGATTTTGATACGTACGAGTATAAACGTATCAAAATCAGGCTATACGTATAGCGCAGACGCGTTACAACATATCAAAAAAAATAGGCATGGAATGTAAAATAAACCATAACACAATAGATATATACATTGGCACATAAGCCATATCTGCAGAGTGTCGGCTAACGATATTATACCTACACATTTACATTGAATCTTGAATCGTCCCTAATGAGGTACACGATACAGTTACCTACATATCTATTATATACATATCTTTGCAAAACAGATGTCATGTAGACTGAATTCACTGCCATCTATTTTCATGCTTTGTTACTAAGCACCCACTAGTAATCCGAACTGCTTCAGATCTAGCGACATCTAGCGGCTACGGTGGCGAAATAAAATAGCCCGAAGAATAGCCCGAGTTAGGAAGGAACCATTTTCTTGTATGGGATGGGGTATCTGTATGTAATATTATGTTAT